GAGGGAGGGAGGGCGGGGGGAGGGCAGGGAGAGAGGGGGAGAGAGAACCCCAAACAGGCTCTGTGCTGTCCGGGCAAAGCCCAAACTCAGGGCTCGGTCTCATGAGCCTGGGATCACGACCTGAGCTGAGATCAAAAGTTGGATGTTCAACCGACTAAGCCACCCAGGTGCCCCTGCCAAGTTTATTCTTAAGAATAATTTTATTTGTAAGTATTTTTAAATGCTATTGTAATGGATTTTTTCCTCCTTAATTTCACTTTCAGGCCATGACTCTTTATTCCCTGACCCTGCTGTATTTTCTGCGAAGCACTCACGAATAAGCCAGATAATGTAAAACGGCCACGGGTACTTTGTATTTGCCCCTCGCTCCAAGACCAGGCCAGCGCCGGGGCAGAGGCCCCTGTGTCTTAAGACGAGTGACCCCGTGTGATGCACAAGTGCTCCTCCGACGCCACCCGTTCAGGGGCGCTGCTTTGTGGCCGCAGGCGACTATGAGCGACGCAGGCCCGAGCAGTCACGCGCGGCCTCTTGTGCCGCCCTAAACTAACACTGCTCTGGGGGAAGAGGCCCAAGACCTCAACTGCGGGGCCATACGACGTCGCATATCCGACTTCCTAGGACTGTCCAATGATTCCCTAGAGTAAGTGTAACACTTGATGTTCCCGCCAGGAAGGTGCGAGTGACCCACTGCCTTCACCGCCAGCGCACTGGAGCCACCGGCCCTGTGCGCAGGGAGGCCCCCGGGCTTTAACCTGCACCACAGACCACTGGCGCCGCGGGGCGTCCGTCACCCGCTCCTCTCCAGCTGTAAGCTTTGGAGACACACCTCTGACACCTTTTGTTCGCTTTGTCACGTGATCCTTTGCACTGCTGGGCTCTCACATACCCTAGATACACAAATCTATCAGCCATGTGGTTTACAAATGTCTCCTTCCAGTCTGTAGCCTGTTTTCATTATATTCACGTGTTCTTTCACCAGCACAAACACATGATTTTAACGAGATGCAATTTATCGGTTTTTTTTTTTTTTCTGCATCATGCTTTTGGTGTCAAGTCTAAGAACCAGTTTCTTACCCTAGATTTCGGAATATTTTCTCCCATGTTTTTTTCCAAGTTTTACACTTATACATTTTTCATTTAAATTCATGATCCATTTTTTAGTTAGTATCTATACGAAGTATAACATTTAGAATGGGTTTTAATAACCCCTGGGTGTCCACTAGTTCCAGCCTCATTTGTTAAAAGGCCGACCTTTCTCCATTTTAAGTGGTTTTGTACTTTGTCAAAAATCACTTGAGCATTTTGGATGTCTCCATTTCTGGGTTCTCTGGAACGTTCCACTGAGCTTTGCTCCTCCCCTTCTTACATGCTGTGCTAGGCAGTGACCTTCTCCCTGGACTCTCTTGGCAAGATTGCTCTGCTGTCTCAGCCTTCACAAATGGGTTCTAGAATAAGCTTATTTTGTATAAAAAAATGAAAGCAAAAAAAACGAAATCTTGCTGAAATTTTAACGGGAATTATATAAACCTATATTCAATTTTAGGAAAACAAACGTTCCAATCTAAAACCATGGTGTCTTTGATTACTTTCATGAACACACTGCTATTTTCAGCATACCTAAGAAAGATTT